ACTTTTGAGTAATGGAGGTCGCGTTAAAGAACGAATCCGGCAATGGCCGAGAAATTTCGTCTACATGCTCAATCGTAGCAGATGTAGAGACACTATCTTTCAAAGCGTCGCTGATGCGGTCCGCGATGTCAGCTTTCTCCGGTCCAAAGATGGGAACGTCCGACAGGACTTGCTCGTTAATTAGGGGCCCTAGAATCTCTGATGTCTGGGCTGGCTCAAACTTCATGAGGTCGAGATATGGTGAATTTTCTAAGACATGTCAGCTGCACCACTCACTGCTGATGGTCCTATCTGCTTACCCTCCAAACCCCGATGGGGGGCTTGCCATGGAACCAACTTATAGACATGATCTGACGTTCGAGACGGTTGCTCTAGAATATCAAAGGCGCCATTTGCTCTCAGGACTAACAACCTTGGCCTCAAAGCAGGTGAATCCAAAGTCACCCAATCGAAGGAGACGATGCGATCGTTTCGTCTTGAGTTATCCCTGTACGAGACATCCATCTCGTGAGATCTCTGAACTTGCAGCAGCTCGGGACCCTCGTGTGCCGCCATGCCAGTAGACATAATTTCTTTATTCGTTTCCATAACCTTCAATTGACCTGTGGGCGATAGTGCTGCCAGCAATCCTCGACGGTCGCGGCAGTATCGAAGTGACCGAACAAGAGAGTGTTTGCCTTCAGTCAAAAAGGGGTCAGAGTCAGTCTCAATCACCTTATCAAGTCGCAAGGCTCCTCCCCACGGGAGCTCGTCCTCTTCCACAGCCTGCATGTAAGAATGCGAAGCAAGTGGTCGGGACGTGGCTCTACGATCCCAAATCATGACGCCAGGGTGATCTAGAGCGGATGATGCGAAGAAATGTTGGTCAACGTAGTCAATAGCCAGATTGTTGTTGCATTTCGTTTGAAAAGTGATGTTCCCGCTTGGATCTAAATTGTGTCAGCCTTCAACCCTTCACTACGTGCTAACGGCGATGATTGTGGTATACCTCGAAGGTCGCATATCCTTACACCTTGGCCCTTGATGCCCGCAACCAGCGTAAGCGGGCTATCCTCAAAAAACTTGATACTTGACACAGAAACACTTGGCTCAACCCTGGTGTAAGAATCCACGAACGTGGAGGCTGCATTCGGGAACCCCGGCTTGGGCAACTCCTGGGCTGAAAGGCGACTGACATCCCAGACGTGGAGACTTTGGTCCATTCGAACACGATCGAGACCAACAGCAAGGAGACCGGTGGTGTTGAAAGCAACCGCCTGGCATGTCCGTGCCATTTTAAGGCCAATTTCAGCATATGCATTAGAGTTGTCGTCAATCTTTAACAGGTTGATGATGCCGGAACTCGTGCCGACCGCCAGCAGGCTAGTGTCAGCTGGGGACCAGTCGTAGGTCGTAAGAGGAGGGAAGTCATCGTGTCGACTGAGCTTGGAAAAGTCAAACTGCCGCTTGTTGGCATGGCCAGTGGGTTCGTAAAGTTGCACGACGCGATGTTGTAAGTTGATATGAACAAAGCTGTCGAAGGATGAATTTGGAGACCATTTCACTAGCCCAGGCTCCGGCCGATCCATTTTGCGGCATGAAAAATCGCCAAGAATTCCTTGGAGTTCACTTGACCTGTAGAAACTCAACGGATCAAGAGTCTACAGTTGCCTCGCGTGACAGTAATGTCCTTGACTGCCCTTTGCGACTCGGTTAGTCGGGGCGATGAGGGCTTGGTGGATGTAAACGGGTTGTCTGGGTCCAAGGAACTGTCCTTAGCCGCTGTCCGACGCTGCCATTGACCTTTGGAATTTGTTGACGAGCTGCATGGCTCCGCGCAATGGCCTGGTGGCAGTGGCAGCGACTACCAAGAAATCAAGCTTCCGTGTCGACGTTGGATATAGTCGCTCCTGCGATCTCACGACCTCCTCCGCATGCACTGGTCGGCATGATTTGATTCAAAGATTGAGGCCCGCTGATTGGCCAACAAGCTGAGTAGCTGTCTCGAGTGCCCACGGCGGAAAGAGCGACCAGTTGATAAGATAACGACGAGCACTGCAGCTTCCGTTTTCCTCTACGCAAGTCCCCACCTTTCACCAAAAAAAGTTGGCCGCCTCTTTTAAGTCCCAAAATCGCAAGACGTCTATCTCATCACGGTTTTCCTCGAGTCTTCGCCGTTGCATTTCATGATACAAAATCATACCATTCATGTCGAGTTTCAATTCAAGCCCTACTCTTGTGTGCAGCCCCTTCATCTCAGCATGAAGCGATCATTTTCCGACGTGGACAACGACGTCGAGTCTCAACTGAGACCGGCGCGAGCGAACGGCTTCAACCCAAAGCGTCAGAAGCAATACGGCACTGGCAAGCACAAGGCCAAGGAGGGCAGCCTCGAGTATTCGAGAAAGCGTGCTCGAAACATCGAACGACTGCTGCATCGCAAAAAGGACCTGCCTGCCAATGTCCAAAATGATTTGCAGAGAGAGCTCGAGTCGCACAAATCTACCGTCTCGGACAAATCTTTTCTGAAGAGGCGAAGTGCAATGATTGCAAAATACCACATGGTTCGATTTTTTGGTACGTCGGGCTAGATTTCCTTTTTATCTACCCTTGTGGCTAGCTGCGAGGCTTGTTAACGTTTTCATGTTGAAGAGCGAAAGAAGGCGTCGCGTTTAGTGAAACAGATCAAGCGCAAGATTGAACAAAACCCAGGTACCGAAGATGCTGATGATCTAAAACGGCAACTGCACATTGCCGAGGTAGACGAGGCTTATACAATCTATCATCCGCATCTGGACCCTTACATCAGTTTGTATGGCAACTCCAAGTCTGAGGGTAACGACAAGGGGGAGGACGCCGCAGAAGACGACAGTGAGACAAAACAAACACGAGCAGCAGCCAAAGCTGCACTCGACGCCAAACGACCGCCAATGTGGTCTGTTGTTGAGAAGACCATGGAAGAGGGTCCTGAAGCATTGAAGCAATTGCGGGAGAGGAGATCTGCAGACGACTCAGCTCACTCAGCTCCTGCCACAAAGAAGCATAGTCCAACAACTAGGACAAGCTCAAACAAACCAGACTCAAGGCAACGGCACGAACAAGCTCATGATCAGCAAAGTCGCGCCGGAGCCAAGGATAAGGCAAGCAAGCAGCAGAAGGGCGAACAGCCGCAACTGAATCGGAGAGAGCGAAGACGACTTATGCGCGAAACTATTGCTGCTGAGCCTGATGAAGACGATGACGGCGGATTTTTTGAGGAAATGTAACATGGGAATATTGTGATCTGACGTGCATAGCCGGAGAATTGGCGCAGGTTTTTTTTTTCTGGAATATATTTGTTTATACACCCAGGTAGCTGAGTTTGGTGGTTTTGGAAGTAATACGTGACACGTTTGTGAAATATGCACCTTGGAAGTCAACTTGTCATAAAATTGGCCCGATCTCTCTTCTTTCCTGCAGTGTTAATTGCAAGCGGTGATACGTAGCGGTGGGAAGATTGAAGGGTCAAGGTACTTATTGACCAGACCCCACCAAGCTAATAATGTGATGTTCTCTTGGGTCAAGCTCACAGTGCTCTCTTCCCAATGTTCACACCCAACGCACATCGACTCGACGACAACGCACTGCGTTTCTTAGACTGCGCAATTTACCGTCATGACCTATATGCCGATCCTTGCTTGACTCTCCTCACTCCCTGGATGTGACATCTGAAAATAAACCAACTAGTCGAGACTGGCGCAAACAAAATACAATCAAGCCGTCTGTCCTATGCCAGCTGAAAGCATCGAGCCCTGCCATGACAACCGCGGACGCAAACCTCATCATTCCCGTGCCCTGGGATAAACTTCTGCTATGGGTACAACAGCAAATCGCTCTCGAGATGAAAACGGGCCAACCGGTTGCCATGACACGACCTCAGCTCGAAGCCTTGTCAGCGTTTGTTCCGTTCAACGTAGAACCAGACGTGAGCGATCAGGGCTACGTTAGCAAGTTGATTGGTAAGGCTTCTCGTCTACAGAGCGATATTCGCTGCTTTTCAAAGTAAAAGCCCCCTGCTGACGTGGTGTATATAGAAAAAGTGCAGTCCCTCCGTCTGGCCAACCCAGTCTGGACGGACCAAGGACCTACCAGTATTCCCATCAACGGACACTTCCAACCTCTTTGGCGCTGTGTCTGCACCCTTCAACACCATGGATCCTTTCCACGTGAAGGGTTTGGGTTCTCTGCTGGAGAGCAAGCGCCATTCTTCCAGTCGAAAAAGGTACGCCCGAGCCCAAACTGCTCTCTCTTTTCCCTATAAAATAAACCTCCCAAACAGATCAGGCTCATCTAACCAAGGGGTCATCTTTTTGGCTTAGAATGCCAAACTGTTTGCTGCCAAACATGCGCTCAGCTATCTCACCCAAGCCAGGCCAGCAGCAATAACCCCAGGGAAACTTCTCCGCATGGATCGACCAGCTATTTCGCCCCTGCAGCTGCCGAAGCCGCATATTCCGCCTCCCCTGAACGTGCAGCCGTTGGGCAAACGGCAGCGCTTGTCGGGCAATTCACCTGTACCAGAGGCAACGCCTAGCAAGTCACTGCGGACAAGTGTTCCCAGCACCCGCTCGCCCAGCAACCCTTCTGTTTTCGAAGAGGTAACCAGTCTCTCCCATCGCTTGGCCCTCGGCAGTCCAACGTACAAGATTGAGCCCGACCCGGCAGGGGATAACTTATTCTGCGGACGGCCTGTCTTTAAGAACGACATGCGAATCCCCCCGGACCTAGGTATTGTCAGTGGCATCGCCGGCGAGAGCCAGGCGAGATTGAAGGTGGCGGAGAGCGTACTAGAGTGGCTGCAGGCCGAATTGCAGAGAAGGCAGGATACGTTTGAGAGCCTGTGGTCGGCTGCGAATTCGCCCAAGCCGGCAACCCCCAACACGCAGTAGATTTGTTCACGTCTCTTTTGGTATGAAGATGCCCGGCCGCGGGGAGGGATATCCCGCTCCCAAGACTAGCAGTAGACTTGCTTAATGAATAACTCATGACCTCCTATGTCTCCCGCCGCCACCTTCTCCCCCTCCTCTCCTCCCCCCTGGTCTCTTCCCCCCTGGTGCTCTAAACTTCAAATCCGCAGGTAAATCGGCAATCTTGACGCCGTCCTCCCACAAGACGCCCAAATCAGTAGTCCTGCTCGTCACCATCTTGAAATACTTGGTCTCCAGGACCCCTCCCTCCCCGCCGTCCGTCAAAATCACCCCATTGTCGCTCCTCCACCAGGTCACGCCGTCCTTGAGACTCGCCTCAATATCAATCTCGACCAACAGCTCCGCATCTCTCCTCATCCCGCTCACAGCCCCTTCCTCCGGCGTCCTGTCCGAACAGTGAATGTGCCCTCTGCTCATGGGCTTCAGCCCGCCCGACTCGAGAATTGCCTTCCAGAACGCAAAGTACGTCCCGTGGACCACCTTGCCCGGCAAGTCCGCGGCCCCCAGCAGAATCGGCTCGAACAAAGCCGCCTCATCGACCTTGAGGGAGTGCCCCTGGTTGGCGCGGATAAGGTATCCCGCCGCAGAAGGGGGTTCAGGCGCCAAAGGGTCAGCAGGTCTTAGAGTGAAGCGTTTCTTGGCGTTGGTTTCCACAACGTCCTTGACTTCCTGCAGGCTTGGGGAGAGGGATTTGATAGGGCCCCAAGACAACTGTCGACGGAGTAAACGAAAAAAAAAAAAGGTTAGCTACGATGCTGGCGTTGTGGTGCAGGAAAGGGGGGGTAGACGTGCTACGCGGTCTAGAGGCGCGAAGCCCTCTTCGTCGAGCTTGATGCCCGCATTCTCAGCTTGGTGTCGTAGCAGCCTGGAGAGCGCTTTGGACAGCTGCACCTCCCGGCCTTCGGGCCTGCCGCCGCGACCGCCCCTGCGTCCAGAGGGCCTTGAGGACCGGGGTGCGGCCTCGTCTTGGGGATGTATACGAGCTTCGTGGCTGGCCATTTTGCTGTTGCTGCGTGTGAGGGAGTATGGTATTTTGCCCGGCCCGAGTTGGGCGACCGGAAAGCTGAGGTTGAAAGTGGGGCTCGCGAGAAGCGTCCCCTTGCAGTGGTGTTTCCAACGACAGGCACTTCCCATTGACTGCAAGCCGAGACAATCAAAGTTGTCGGTTTGCCTTCTTGAATGCCTGGTTCTCGCTAGAATAGAACCCCGTATGCAAGTGTCGAGTGGAAAATGAGGCCGAGATTTTGACGTCCCACCCAGCCAGCCAAACACAGTGACTCACGCGGCCGCACGGTGCATGGTTTTGCATCTTCTTCACCCAAACCTAGCGTCAATGACACGTCACAACGTGGCAGAGTATATATAGTTTGTTATGAGAATGTAAACAAATCCTATTGCAGTCAAGAGCTATCGTACATGAAAGAACTATTCATCCACCCATACAGTAGAAAAATGCAGACCAAAGGCCGTTTAGCCACCTGAGTGACAGACAATGGGTTTCGTCATGTCGTTATGCAGTCCAGAGCGGTCCTCATATCCAGCGCAAGCCAGAGTAACTATTTTGCTGTATGATTTGTTTTGTGCGTGATGTACGTTGATTTATGCAGAGTCTGAGAAGAAGGGGAAAGGAAAGAAAAAAATTAAACCGAAAAACGTCGTATAGACAAAATGAGCGCGAGGAAAAAAAAAAAAAGGAAAGCAAAAAGCCCGGCCTGTCCCGCCTTCATCAATCATCAAAGGTGTAATATAAAAGTACGTAGCAGAACGTCCCTTGTTGACGGTGCCACTAGAAAGTCTTATGTAAAAGTCCATTTGAATACATGTACGGGCGTAAAATGCAAGTAGTGGCTCTCATGAGCATCATCTATAGGGGCCAATTGTAGCTCCAGAATTTGTCGAAATCAAGCTGTCTCGGTTTCTCCGAGTGCTGAGACTGCTAGCTCGGCTATGGATTATTCCTTTGCTTAACGGCGGACCTTGTCTCTGGACTCGTGATTCTCCAACACTGTCGCCAAAGTCTTGCTCTCCCGCTTGTCGATCATTGTACCTTCTTGGCGACGCAATGCTGGACCCCTGGGATCCTGCAAGGCGGGAGGAATGAACGCTTGTGGACAAAAATCTGCGACGTGGGAGTGCTGAGGGAATCTGCGAGGCACTGTCGGGGGCTATGGATGGCGAGTCTGATGGATATTCTCGTCCAGGGTCTCTGAGCATGTTGACGTCGGTATCTGCTCTGGAGGGTGGTCGGAATCTTCCCTCGCCACCATCATCACCCACTGTGCCCCGACGATTTCTCAAGAATGACGTTTGTCGGCCTTCCTCTGGTTCTTCGGTCCCTGCTCGTCGGGATCGCAACATTGTTGGTGACCGAGCAACTTCCGGTTCCTCGGTACCAGCTCGCCGAGTCCGCGAAATCATAAGGGACGATCTTCGCTGCGAATTGCCCTCGATTGGCGTAGTCGGTGCTGAACCAGTGGCGCGCGGCGTCGGTAAAGCTGTCCCATTCAGAATAGAGCTTCGTCGCTCCTCGAATTTGGACAATGGTCTTGGGCTGCTGATGGATTTCGGTATTCCGTGTTCGGCCACACGGCGTGGAGTGGGCAGACTACTATAGGACTTTGGTGCAGTGGGCGTTGCAGGTCCATCATGCTGAGCCAACGCAGGCGGACTAGCTGAGCCTGCGATGTTTGCAGGACCTACTGCTTCCCCAAGTGCTACACATAGTTCTGTCAGACTCCGACAGACAGAATCGGCTTTTCTTCGCAGTTGTCGGTCAGTGACTGCCGGTCCTCCCGTTCCAACCACACTCGCAGCACTAGATATCGGCCCTGGCTGACCTGGGGTACCCATCATTGATGACAACGCCATGGCGTCATTAGCCGCTGACTGCAGTGCCTGATAGACTTCCAGACTCAAATAAGGCCTTGATTTAACCAACGCTTCATGAAGGATGGGGTGTGCCTCCCTCTGAGAGGACGTGGTACTCGATACTTCTGCAATCTGCCCATTGACCTGTCGTTTGGGAGATCCAGATAGAGTAGTTACCGTCGTCGTAGCAGTAGCTGGCCGCTCCTCAGACATTCTGGAGACTGCCGCCCCTGACGTGGACGGCAGCTTTCCCGTTAATTCAAGTCGGTTGATTCGCGACTTGAGGTCGTCTAATTCATCCCAAACAGTCGAGGGTGCAGTTGTTGAAGCAGTGGATTCCGTTCCCTCAAGTCCATGAGGGGCCTCGGTTCCCGTCTTGTTCTGAAGGTCAATCGTCCTGGCCAGAGGGGATGAACCGTGATTCCGGGCTTGGATGAGCCCAGATGGTCTGTACCCGGGTGTACGGCCCACAGTAGAATTACTGTCGGTTATGGACGCACGCCTGCGTGCGTAAAGGCTTGCTTCTTGGCTATTATCATAACCAACTGTAGATCGCGCTGAAAGAGGAGATGGTCGCAGGTTTGCACCGCCAGAGCGTGTCCGCGGAATCTCCTCGCCAGGGTGAACAGAAGCAGCCTTCTCCCGGAGCAGCGAGCGAAATGTGGTGGTCCGAGAGATCTCACTTCCTTGGTCGTCCTCAAGATGTAGTGGACGAGGTCTGTCCTGCTGGTCAGATAATCGCCGCCTTTGTCTTGGGGGCGATGTCTGGTGGTGATAAGAGGGCACAACAGTCGACAAAGGGCGGCGATGAGAGGATCGTCTGATGCCAGACTGTCAACTAATTAGTACACGGTATGGGTACCGGGCATTGCGGGACCGTCTCATGGCAACCTACAACTGAAGATTGAGCATCGTCCAAATTCTCCTCTCCTCGCAGACGGCGCATCTGCTCGTCTCTGGCTATTCTCAAAAAAACATCCCCACCATCATCTTGTCGGCCAGATTCGCCGTCGTTTAGGGAAACACCTCCTTGGGCATGCCTGCCTTCGAAATTGTGCGGCGACTGTTCCTCGGGAGAAGTTGCATAAAGCTCGCCCAAATCGTGGGGGCGAGACGTGGGATTCATATCCTGCGTTAGGCTCTTTCGAGAGTCTGATGAGCGGAATGAGCGTATTGGCGGCACTCGGCCAGGCGTGAGAGTGGCAGGCTGAATACTATGCCGCTTGTGCGCTGGTCTGTAGGAAACCGGGGGCCGCTGAGGTGATGGATATCGGTTGTCATCTGATGAGCTGGACCCAGAAAGCCGGTTAAGAAGTAGCAGCTCTCGTTGGCCTTGCGTGCTCTTCGTCCTCGGTGTTTCAGGCAGAGGCTGCGGCTGAGCAGTGGTTTGGGCCGCCGCCTCAACGCCGTGAAGACGTTGAGTGTTGAGAGATGGCGGCGGGCCGTCGGAGGTCGAAACGCCGTTTGAGCTGCGCGAAGCAGGCCCTCTCCAACTCAGAGGCTTGGTGGTTCCAGTTGGAGATAGAGACGACGGGGAGGTGGTTTGATCGGCGTGGTCGGGTCCCGATTCAGGACACGATGCGGGACGCTTCGGCTGGGCGGGGGGAGAATCTGACGATGACGAGGTCGCAGGCTGGGGTGAGGCGTGGTATGATGATGCCCGAGAGTGCACGGCCGCTCGTGGTGGAGAGGTGGCCGAGGGCGACACAGCAAAGGGTGAAGAGGGATGATGATGTGTTGTTGACTCTGCCTCTCTGCCTGCGTCTGCGTTTGCGTCTGCGTCTGCGGCCGCGCCCGTGTTTGCGATGTTGTCGGGGATGGATGGGGCCGGTCGCTGTTCGGGCACGGGATTGGGCAACGCTGACGAGGGGGCGCCGTGAAGCGAGTGAGGCACCTGGCCAGGATTGTTGTGGTGCGGGCGGTGCGGTTGAGAGGGGAACGATGACGCCGCCGGGGGTCCGCGCCTCGAATCTGCAGGCCGAGGCGGCGGCAGCTTGGACGAGGTGTTGTACTGGCGGTGCGAATGCCGGGTCAGCGGAGGAGAGTCGTCGGCGTGGACGTTGTCGAGATGGTGGCCGCCTGCCGCGACGGTAGCAGCAGCTCGAGGGGGGGATGAGGGAGGACGATTTTGCTCATTCGGGCCAGAGCGAGGAATGGACGTGGCGCTGGACGTAGTCCTAGTACTGGTGCTAGTAGCAGTAGCAGTACTGGGAGCCATGGTAGAGGCCCTGCATGTGGGGTGGGCGTTATGAGTGGGCGTTGAGTCCATGTCCTCCAGGGCAGTGGCCGGCACCTGGACAGACGGCATGGACGCGCCTGGAGCGTTAGGAGAGCTTGTCCCTGTGCCTGGGCCTGCACGTGTGCATCTGCCCCCACGGCCGTACAGGGAGCCACGCGCAACAGCCGTGTTGGCAGGTTGAGTCGTCCCGGTGCCCAAGCTGGCGCCAACGCTCAAAGCGGTGCCGGTTGCTCGATGTTTGCTGGCGTTGGCGTTGGTTTTGGCGCTGGTCTGGTGCTGGTGCTGGTGCTGGTGGCTGGCAACGGCCGTGGTGAGAACCGCCGACTCAGTCATACTATCTCGGCCGAAGCTGCATGCTATTGAGAGTGTGCGCTAGAGCAATGCTCTGGAGTCAAGGTGTCTTTGGCGTCGTCTTGCTGCGGCGGCTGCACCATCAATCAACGGGTTTGGTCGGTATGATATGCGAAAGCTTTGCCGCAAGGAATTGTTGGTCGTCGGCTGGAGCTGGGGATGCGCCTGTCTTAACGGAGCACGACGGCAATGGTCTCGGATCCAAAATGTTATAATTAGGGACTGGTCTTCTTTCTTTCAATCCGACTTCACTCCCTCTTCTTGGCCGTGACACGGGTCGACCAAAGAGCGACCACCACCGACCACACTGGAGGCGTATGGCCCGTATCGCACCTTTGTTCAAATGTTTCGAACAAAGACAAGGAACCAAAACCCCAACCGTGGTCCGGCCCGACGGGGGAGGAGAATGGGCGCTGCTTGTTTGAGGTGCGGACAGGTCAAGGAAGGAAGGATGATGCCTAATGCGCGCACCTGCCAATCCGCTTCGTCAGATCGAGGCGTCGTGGTGTTTTCGAGACGAGAAGGACAGCAGAAGTTGACCACACGAAAACCACAGAAAAAAAGGAAAAGGAAAAGGAATGGAGAGCTCGACACCTTGCGATCGAGGAGCAGAGCGCCAGTAACAAGAAGACACCTGCGAGCTGCCGAGTACCAGCAAGTAGCTATCTGAAGCGAGCAAGCACCCTTGCCAATGCCAGCCATGGGGCCTACAATTATACAACATGGAATACGAATGCTCTCTGATGCCATCCACCAGGATCAAGAGCTTCACCCGGTCCAGCCGGTCAAGACGCATGCCATGCGGTTATGTGCTTTGCCATGGCCACTTTATCCATCCCATGCCCTCCCCATGCCCCTGGCCGCACCACCCTTATTAACCAGGACCAAGACCGAGAGCTCTCAACTAGGAATAGTGACATGCAGCTTGCCCCTCGAAGAGAAACAACGCAAAGCTGAGCACCGGCTCGAGACACGGCCATCTGGGTCTGGGTCTGGAGTTCGCCGGCTTGTTTGGGCCTACGCAACGGCCATTTTCCCCAGGACGCACCAGACAAGGAAAACCGCGTTTCGACCGCATTTGCTTGCAGCCCAGAGGCCAGAGCAGCTCTGGTGCTAAACATGTTTCCTTCAATGTTCCTTGGCCATCCATTGTCCCGGCGAGCTGCAGGCCCTATCACGAAACTTGTCTAACAGAACACGGGACGGTGCAGGGAAGAATGACCAGTTTGCTTTTTTTTTTTTTTTTTTCCCCTCCTTTTCCTCTTCCTCGTCCTTGTCCTTTCCCGCCCCTCCCTCTCTATTGCCCATGTCCCGGTATCGCGACTCCCACAGATAATAGCGGCCTTTTGGTCATTATCAGACCCGGCTTTGACCCTGGCCCCCTCGACAGACGTCGATTACAATTGAGCTATCACAGTGCTAGCTAAGTGCGCAGATGCAGACGAGCGGATCCCCAGATGCAGCCAGCACGACACTCGTGGGACAGGAGCTCCTCCACTCGCACGAGTTGGCCATTTGGAGACGAGTCTGGAATAAAGCTGCAGCAACCTCTCACATGTGGCGCGGCGCTCGACCGACTTGACCTGATTATCACCAGACCTTGGTCCACGTTTGTGGCGTGGTCCTCTCGCTTTCAATGGACGGGCCACATGCATCTGGCAGTACTACATATGTACACACATACTCCCTACATGTGTTGCTGTTGCTGTTTTCTGGTATTGACTCTTATTTGCTTTGCTGCGAGGCATGAATGCGTTGTGAGACACACAAGGGATTTATGCCACATGACGACAATTGTTGCTTTGCATTGACGCCATTGCCGAAAAAAAATTGATTTTTTTTTTTTGCCACCCGACTTGTAAGTTTTCTTTCCTTCTTACTAGTCTGGTGTATGTGTGTGTGAAGACGGAAAGAACTACCGTAAAACGCTGGTCAATTTCTCATCATTGGCGTTTGTCTGTTGGCACTCGGACTCGAGGCATGCAGTTGAGATTCCGTGGTCTCGTCTCATTGCGCTTGTACTCCCAGGTACCAAGTGATCGTCAACGGTCCCTTCTCACGTCCGGTTCGTACTGGAAATACTAGCCAGGGGTATCATTGCATGCGTTCCCTGTTTGAATGGGTTCATTTGGTGTCCTTTGGTGGAGTATGTACAAGCACTTCAATGTTTGAGCTTGGGCCATAGTGCAGCGAGCCACGCTCAGACTGAGTTTGGTTCCAACCAGACTATTTGCCATGTTGTCTGTGATGACTCTTTTTTTTTTCTTTCATGTTCCCGTGTGCCCAGGGGTATGTATGAGAAAAGAAAGAAAGAAAAAATAGGAGAGTGAGGTTTAAGTCGCCGTTACCAAACCCAGCAGCATAGTGTCCTGCGCATTGCGCATCATGCAAAGTTACCTAATGCCCTGATCGCTCAAGCTGTCTAGTAACGCCATTGAGACTCTGGTTTTGGATTTTACTCAACTCTCCCGAAGCAGGAGCAGCTAGCTGTGCATTTCGACACATCCATGATTCACGCTGCTGGACGCCATTCCACGTCGGCCCACGACTTAACGAGCCTTGAAAATCCTGGATGCATGCGTCTATGCTGCTTTACTTGGCCATGTTCACGACACATGTCTCCACGAAGAGCCGCTCTCGCGTCCATTGCGGCTCGCGTCTGGTGGAAGTGTCGATGAAACTCATGTCGAGAGCCATCTTTCGTGTGAATGAGCATGAGCGCGAGACGTGAAAAATGTGACGCACTTGAATCTGTTTCTCCAGGTCGTTACACACCTCGTGCTAGCGGAGTACATGGCAACGAATGTTTTTCCGAGAGTTGAAACTGCGCAGTATACCAAGATATCAGATGCAATACCTCTCCAAGTCTACATGTCGCCGGAGTGCTTCACACTCGGAATGAATTGCGCACAGCAAAGAAAAAAAAGAGCAGTTGGGGATTGGAGCAGCTCCTACTCCGTACTCCAGCAGCTGCATTCTCACAACTCGGCAGATTTGTTGATATGACGTGTTTTACAAAACATGCAAGGTGACGAGTAATTAAACCACCAGGGTTTGAAACCAGTGCTTTGCATGCGGCGCAGAGTGTTGGCCCTGTGTTGGGAAATTGTGAAATTTCTACATGGTAGCAATGCGACTCGGCAGTCGGAAACTGGGAATACGGCATAAATGGCAAACCAAAAATAGAGAGGACATATGTCCATCCGTTTGCTTCTGCCACATTTGAGGGCATCAGATGGAAGAATTAGCCACACGCGTTGCTTGGATTGCTGCAACTGTCGGTCCCGTCCTCCCGTTGTCTTCAATATTCTCCTCATCGCCACTGATGGGCCTGAAACAACACACAGCGTTCGTATACCTCGTTGTTCAAGGCCACGGCGGTCCTTTGTGGCCTACAACAACTACCTCATCCTAGTTGCATCTCCAAGGGTCAATTGGTCGCACGGCACTGAGCGTCGGAGGATCACGAGGTGAGGCGGGATATTCTGCGAATTTGTTAGCACATAGCGAGCAGGGGTCAAACGTAACCTACTAGAGACTGTAACGATACATGGCACGTTGTTCAAACAAGCATCGAGAGCAAACGAGTGATCTGCCGGATGAAACCAGAGATTCTGACACGGGGATAAAATACGAACGGGCGAGTCTATAACCGAGGCCAGAGAGGACAGCTGGTTAGTTGTACTCGGGGAGAAAACAGGTTTGTAAAAGCTCGGCGGTTTGGTATGTCGCAAACTCAGAACTCGAGCCCAGGATAGCTAATTTATAAGTGGAATAGAAGTAGGTTTTATGTATTGACGGGCACGTTGGGACGGAGCACGCGACGATGGGACAGTAACGTAAGTACTTACAGTAAAGCAATTCGGCGCATACGCGTAAGGGCAAAGTAGCTGTCCTATGTATAATACATATAAGAGTGACTCCTGATATATAATGATTTTTCTCATAAATATTACTTACTAATACATGTAAAATTATAATTGCACACCACCTTACCCTCTAGATAAATTTCTCATTAGCTTTTTCAAGCCTTATTAACCTTATTACATCAATAACAGCAAGGCTCCTTCCTAAAAGGGTAGTCGCATGTTAGCGATATAATCCCTGCAATCAAATACTACAGCAATAAAAAAAGCCTCACAAAGGTTATCGCTTTACATACCTAGTTTACTACATATAATTCGCGACAACACCCCCCCAAAGGTCAAGACCTGCAATAGCCCTTGGATCAGAGTTGGGTGTTTCAGATCCAAGAATGACATCAATTCGGGGGTTGCAAGCGCGAGTCGCTAGCATTGGAACCCCCCCGCCAAGCCCAGAGGTCCTAACTTTGTTCGACCAAAGCGTCGGCTTGGCGCGATGTTGATAATCATGACCCTGGTTGTTTCAGACGGGCCAATACCAAGACTTTCGTACCGTTAGTTGGTAATGTAGGATACGTACCCGGTACTGAGAGAAATAGTATGTATGTACATATGTACATCTCTCCATGGTAGCGGTTATTTTGCTAGGCCGAGTGACCCATTTGACCCCCTGGCTGGCAACGTGGAACTCGGGGTTGCAAGGATCGTCAAAGTCAAATTGCGATGAGCTATCTGGGAAGCAGAGATCCTTGCGACGTGTTGCAAGTTACTACATTAAGGACATCGTACATAGATGTTGGTCCAGATGGTCATGGTGTCAGATGATGACGGCTAGTACTGTTCAACAGACGGCGTTTCGTGGGGAGCTTGTTTTCTAGTCTTTTAGTCTTCTAGTGTCTGGTTGATTTGATCACATGGAGCAAAGCAGAAGCAGACCGACAAGTAGGCCATTGGTGCGCATGTGCATGGTGCAACCTCAACAAGTCGTTTGGTGGTCGGGTCAAGGACCAGCTTTGCTCGCGCGGCTATTGCCGAATGAAACGGTGCGTGTAGGAAGAATCAAGGTCGATTGGTCTGGGGCGTAACGTGAATGTGTCAATGTGTCATTATGTTTGCTCG